CCAGCGCAGCTCCGCGCTGCCTGCGCTCTGTGCCCGCTGCCCGGCCCGCTGATGTCAGCTGGGGGCGGGGTCCGCGGAAGGGGCGGGGTCTGCAAGGGGCGTGTCATCAGTTGCGGATACCGTGTGCACGTGCTGTCTGACTGCTGTGTGGGTGGTGCCCCTGATGCTGTTTTGCTGAAGTCAGAACTGGAATTAAGAATTCCAGTTACCACACCCCCTAGCTCTGTAGCCTCAGTTTCTTCAACTGGAAAGTATGGGTAACAAAAATGACTTCCTTCAAGAGTGTGACAAGAGGATGTCACGAGATCACTGATTATGTGCTCATATACCAGAGTACGGGAAAGAGTGACCCTGAATATTGGGTTGAGTGTCCTGGAGAAGGTTGGCGTCTAGCCCAAGTTCCATTGGGAGAGGAGACAGCTTTCAGCCTCCCCACCAGACATGCATAAACTAGATGGGACCTACTGTGTAAAAGAAATGCTACCTCTGGGTGAGGCTGTATACTTTTTTTTTTTTTTTTTCCAGGACAGGGTCTCTCTGTGTAGCCCTGGCTGTCCTGGAACTCACAGAGATCCACCTGCTTCTAATTCTTGAATGCTGGAACTAAAGGCATGCACCATCACACCTGATTGAGGCTGCATGCTTTCAAAAAGCTTACTTTATGTGTATGATTATTTTTCATTCATGTGGGTACACTGCAGGTGTACCTGGTGTCTAAGGGGAACAAAAGAGGGCACTGTGAGCCACATGGGTACTGGTAACTGAACCCAGGTCTTCTGGAAGAACTGGAAGTGCTCTTAACTCTGGAGCCATCTCTCCAGCCCCAAGGCTTAAATTTTTCTGAATTTTCAAACTGTCCTAAAGTATTTTTATGAGAGCAGGGTCCAGTGATAAAGCTGGTTTAAGAAAAAGATAAGAAGGTTTGGCTTCAGGTGGAGGCTGCTCAGAAGCCTCAGGGGCCTTGCCTTGCCTCCAGGGAAGACCAGCTGTGCAGCTGCACGACTTTCTGAGGGCTTTTCCCCAGCCCCAGTCCTGGGGCCAAGGACCCAGCACCAGGTCAGCTTTGTTGCCTGCCACCACTGATCTTTTTCTAAGGACAGCTTCTCTCGGATACTTAGATCTGAGGCACTACCTTTCCAGCCTCAAAGAGGTTGCTAGTCCCAAGGAAGCTGGAGTTGGGAGTTAATCACACTGCAGCCTCATGTGGCAGCTGGACTGCCTTCTGTCTCACGAACTGCATGTGAGGACCACTGGCAGAGAGGTGGAGGTCCCATCCATCTACTCAGTCCTTCTGGTTACTGTTCACCTGTTTTACCAAGTTCAAGTTCCCTTCCTGTCTTGTTCTGCACTGCTGCATCCTTCCTCTTGGAAAGCCTGTTCATGGGTACCATACATGTAGATACAGAAATACAGACAGACACGTGTATAGGCAGATACACACACATAGTCACACAGACAAACATTACAGATACACAGAAAACCTAGCTCCCATGGCCCAAGAGCTCAACCCCTTTCTTCCTCTGGCCCTCCTTCACCAAGGTAAGTGTCCTCATGTCCTCTGTGAAGAGAAGAAAGCTGGCAGACAGCACACTGTGCCTGGTGTCCTAGACCCTGCGGAGCTCACATCCTTGTCATCCTCAGCACTGGCTATGACTTTCGAGATGCTTCCCAGGATGCAAAGCACTCCCCAAGGCCCCATAAACTTTCCCTCATGATCACCCCCAAGCTACCAAGGGCAGGCCCATCCTAAAAGAGGGGGTAAGGGCGGCATGTGACATGACACGAAAGAACACAACCCATACCTAAGCCTAACCATCATCTGGGGGAACAACAGGCTCAGAAGGACACACTAGACAGACCGCCAGCCTACAACCTACAGAAATACAGCCTGCAGGACAGGCAGACAGGCTTTGTTTTTCCAACAAATATGGAGAGAGAGTACACAAAAAAGAAGAGACATCAGCCAGTGTGTGGGTTTGTAAACAAAACAGCTGTTAACAAAGGTTCCCCTCCTACTTGCGGGCAATGCAGTCCAAGATGACCAGCAGAATCCTCAAATAAGGACAACAGGAAACTGTGTGTGATACCAAAATGGTTGGTGCAGTAACCCAGACAGTCAAGTGGCTGACCAGCAAGTACAGTCTAGTGTGGCTACGATGGGCAAAGGGGTGATTTCTCATTGGGCGGGGTGTGGAGATGAAAGGTACTCAGAGCAGCAAGAGATTTAATTTTTATTTCTAGAATTGTCCATTTAATATTTTCAGAGCAGGCTGGCCTCAGGTAGCTGAAGAGTACTGCATATTGTTGCCACTGGACATTGCTTCTTCTTTTTCTTTTTTCTTTCTTTCTTTTTTTTAAAATTTGGTTATAAGAGACATTGTCTCACTGCATAGCTCTGGAACTCAAGAGATCCACCTGCCTCTGCCTCCTGAGTGCTGGGATTAAAGGCATTGGCCAACATGCCTGGCTGGACATGGACATTGTTTCTTAGCTACCCCTATGGTATGGGGTTACCATATCAGTTATATGGCTGAATCCATGTATCTGGGATTTTTGGATGAACTGACCTTAAAGCTTTATGCCATTTTCTCTACCCTGGGTCTATTTGGGATTTTCCATAATAAAATTTAAAAGAACAAAAAGGGTTTGGCTGGAGAATCACCCTTTAAGGCTCCTGGGGCTCCCAGCAGCTACTGAAGGAAGGCCACAAGCTACAGACCTGGTGGATATACTGACCCTGAGCTAGATTTGAGCCACTTCCTATGTTCTTCATCTGCCTAGTCACTCACAATCCTTACAATAGAACAGGAGAGAGATCTTGCTTTGAGCTCAGGCAGTGGACCCCTGGGAAACTGAGTTCTGATGCCCACATGTTCATGAGAAAGGCTGGGGCAGCCCCAGTGACCCTGGGTGAGTCTGAAATGCAAGACTCACATTAACCCTAACACTTGGGGTATTAGAGAACTCTGCTTCCCTCTGCACTATGAGTTCTATGGAATCTCTCCTCTTTCCTCACTCTGCTCCTGGTCTTCCTAGAAATGCATCTGCTCCTTGCTGGGGGCATAACAAGCCCCTCACGAACAATGCTGACCTTCCACAGTAGGATGTTCCTCACAGAGAAAAGCTTTGAACTGACAGTTGGAGACTAGGGGCAAGCCAAGTGTGGCTCACATGTGTATTTTGTTTGGACTGCAAAGTGTTTTTAAATTTTTGAGTCAACAGTAAAAGGTCAGGTGACTTCACATAAAAATCTAAATTCCAAGCTTCTCCCAAAGCTCTGGGTAACCCACTCACACCAGCTGCATCCCCACATGGGATCTCCCCGTGTGGGATCTCCCCGCGTGGGATCTCCCTGCATGGGATCAGAGGCTCAGGGGAAGCTGAGTAGTACTGTGACCTTAACTAGGCACACACTTGGAGTTTGCCACAGACCCTTGGACACAATCCCTGAATGAGGAGAAAGTGTGTCCAGGTCAAATTGTCTTTTTTCTCCTTGCCCTCACAATCCCTGATTCCCTGACGAACGAGCCTCTCCAAGTTCCCATCTGCACAACTGTCTATGGTCCCCAGAGTCTGGGCTTCCCCCAACTAGGACAAACATGAGTCCTCACCCCACCATAGTGAACACGTCACTAGTGCCTTTCAGGACCTTGGCAGCCTCTGCACTGGCTCCCCGGAGCACAGGTCCACGACTGCTGAGCAGCAGACAATGTCAGGGCAACCATGGACACGGGTCAACACTTCTTCACACCCGGACTGGGCCACAGCCAGTGAGGACAGCAGCCAGGCTGGGCACTGGTAGAAATCCTTTTGTCTCTTGTCTAGGCACAGTGGCACATGCCTGTGAGACCGAGGTCAGAAAATTATGAATTTGGGACCAGCGTAGGCCACAGAGTAAGATCCTGCCTCAGAACAACAGAAAACTTTTCACCCCTGGCTGGCAGGTAAAGGCCTGCCCGCCCATTTGCTGTTCTGCATTTAGAGTGCATGGAGGGAGGACATAGCTAGGGTGTGGCCAGGCCCAGGTCCTCTGTCATTTCCCGACTAGAGTATCATCATTCCTGGCCTGCCTGGGTTCTGGGGTGGCCCTGTGTGGGTGTGTGAGCACACACCTTGGCGGGAAGTGACGCACCGGGGCCAGAGTGAGTGTGGCTAATACAGTGGGACGGGCCTGGCTATCCTGCGGCCCCTGCAGCCTCCAGTGGCCTCTCCACACATTGAGGTGCGAACTTAAGTATCTAACCTCACAGAAGGTCACACTGGGTGGAAGGATGTGACATCATCACCACACATCTCTGACCTCATATGGAGTTACTGCCCAAGGAAACTGGAACTGGCCAGCTGATACTCAGTGAGTGGAGGGCTTGCTGGAAGGCAGTGCAGACCTGGCCATCTCAGTCAGTGTGATCCTGGAACCCACTTAGAGTCTGAAGGAGAGAGCAACTCCGGCAAGTTGTTCCCTCACCTCTACACATGCGCTGTGGCAAGTGGGCCCACATACATCGTACACACACACACACACACACACACACACAAAATTAATTAGAGGGACCAAAAAGATGGCTCAATTGTTAAACTCTGGCAGAGGACTTGAGTTCA